GTGACTTCTAACTAAATTAGGATAGTATTTGTTTCTAATTACTAGTACTCTCAAGTTCATTTTGATTCCGCTTAAAGTAAACGGATTTATTATTGTAGGAATCGTTTATAAATTTGAAAGTCAAGGAAAGTATGTAAGAAGCCTTGATCTATTAAAACCCATATATGATACCTGCGAATGATAGTAAGGTTCTTTGCCGGGCTCCATGAAACACAAAGTTTCGTTGTAAATTAGGAGTATTATATATTTATGGGATTCCCAGTAATATTTTAACTGAGAGTATGTCTTCCTACTCACGTTAAAATTCGTAGTTGTTTAATAATCACCATTTTAATTATAAGAGCTTTATATACCATTTGTCTACATACTTACGACTGGAGAACTAAACTTGGATACTCTCCACCTATTGACTGATATACCTTTGGAATTAATAATATCCATTATGTGAACAGAGAAAGAAGAAGCCTTAACAAACTACGGAATCTATTTTTGGGGACGTTATTTCGTTTAATTCAAAGCTTATAAAGCAGTAATATTTATTCTTGTCCCTAGTGTATTCTGCAGACCATAAGCTTTCGTTTTATGTATGATTCACTGCCATAACCTTTTCTGTTCCAAAGCTATTTATAATTTAAACGTACTTTTTTGCACTCTATTTTCTACCCTGATCTCCAGTTTTGGATGTAATTGTTTTTTTCCTAATTGTTTGAGCGTTGTGGTCTGTTTAGTCATCTACTTATCCACGTATCTTTTTACACTAATCGGAACCAGATCGGAATTGGGAATAGATCGAGTAGTGTTCCAGTTGACTTGTCTTCTCTGTCTCTCGTACTTTTCAGCCAATCAGGTGATAGGATAGGTTTCGTCTCTACTCCAAGCAGTTGGGCTCACTTCGAACTCACTCATATTAGCCTCAAAGTTAAGCCAGTCCATCTATCGCGTCAATGTCTTAATATAGATTTAGGCAAGTTATCATCTGCATAGAAGTGGGTAGACAGATCAGGGACGTAACCATCCCAATGAAAAATATTATTAATTCAGGTGACCTAATTCATGCGATTTGCAGAAAAGACTGTCATAAAGTGAAACGTAATCGTTATGGTTTCTTGGTAAGATGTACAAAATCGATCATAAATCCTATCTGTAATAAATATAATCACTGGAGTATTGAACGAGACACATATGGGCATAAATAAGATAAGTAGCAGTTTAGTACGTCTTCCCAATAATAATGTTTACTTAACTCTATTTTGCAAAAAAAAAATAAATGAAACACATCTAAAGGAGGTAACAAATAGCTTTATTACTGTGTACGTGAATTTGAGGAATACAATAAATCTTCACTTATATATATGAGGTAAAATGTTAACGTAATACAATATTGTAAAAGTTTGTATACGCTTGTGTATGTTTACATAGTCTCTATGTGCCATAATTGTGATGAAAACAGATGAAGATCACTTGTGCTGCCTCCTAAATTCACTATTTTAACCTTCTACAAATATAATAAATTAGTTTCAAACTCTGAACGATTTATTTTCGATTAAATGACGGGCCAAAATTGATTTGATCAACAATGGATCTGGTACAGTTTGAGGAAAATAATTTACATAATTATGCTTATTATTGGGGGTACTCATGAAATTTGAATAATCAGGACTACATTCATCTGCTAACATATGTTTATTGTCATGTTTACTACGATCTGTATCACTGTTTGCAGTACCGTGTGTATTCAAATCTAACAAATGTTCTATACTTAGCACATGATTTGATGAGTCGTTCTTATCAGGTGTTTGGTTCAGTGTTGAGTTCATATCTGTAGATTCATTGTTTAAACATGACGTAATGTTATTTTTATTATTAAGAACATGTCGATTCCATTTCATTTTGTTGAAACTAGAATGTATATTTCGGAAATTATCATTATCACAAGTAGTTTCATTCACTTTTTTGGTCCCCAAACAATTAGAATTTATACCTGACATGTTTAGAATTCCTGAAAGAAATGTTGTAAATGCATTATAATAATGACGATAATCAAATTCTTCCCATTTCGAATAACCTGGTTGTACATTACTTTTACTTTCATTTGGGTTAAATTTTGTTGAGTTTAACTCTGGAGTCATATTTGAATATAAAAATGATGATAATAATGAACAGGATGAATCATTTGACTGGCAAGGTCTATCACATGATGCACTGTTTTGTGGTACACTCCGAAGACAGTCTAATTGATTTTGTGCATTATCTGTTTGAGAGTTATTGCTAGTATTCCTACAACCAGATGTATCTAAATAATTAATTCGAACAGGAGTAACAGTGCCATGCGCTTCCTGTAGTTGGAAAGGAGTTTTCACCGAATTTATACTAGGTCCGATGGCTTCTAAGTTTAACACAGACGGATATGCGGTAGTATTGTAATTGACATCTTGATGTTTAGTGGGGATAATATTCGGACTAATTCGACTGTCAACACTATTGCAATGCAATAATGTTGAGAATAACGAGACAGGTGAAAATGTCTCCAAGGAGTGTGGAATGTAATTGTTCTTCATTTGCGTACCAGTATTAATTAGATTCGTATTCTTACTCCTTTCTGTACTACCAACATTTTGAGGGATAGTCGTCACGAAACCAGGAGTATTCACTGCAATATTGGTCAATGAATTTAAATTATTTGAAGTAGTTGTTGCATTAAATGTCATTTTATCCAAATATGCTTGCCTTGCCAATAATTTTGCATATGCCTCATTAATTGAAGACAGTAAATAAGTTGATTCATATGGTGAAAATCCTATCCCACTCGTGTCGCTAATTGAACTGAAAGATTTTATTGAGCTTTCAGGCGGAGAAGATGACTTGTCATTTGTCTTTTGAGTCGACCGAGGAAGTTTTAATGATTTAGTAGCATTATTTGTCATATTTACTGTTTCCGATGTAATAGGGGCCAATTCTTCCCGAACCAACATCGGTGGCGAAAATCGAGTTGATAGAATGTTGTGTTCTAGAAAGCAATCAAGTAAAAATCTTAAACTGATCTGATTTCAGATAAAATTGATAAGACTACTTACAAGTAGTTTGGAACGTTTTACTCAAGTTATACTCATTTCAAAAGATCAAACTGAATGATTCAAAAAGGAAATAATTACCGATCGACAGTAACTTTTCTTACTATGAGAGCAAAGCATTCAAAATACCAGCGGAGGCAGAGTGGATTTTGAAAATACAGTAAGCTGACCGAAAGCTATCAGATGTCAGAAACTTGAATTGTGTATTCAAAAGAAGACATTTTGTCAATCTTTCTCTACCCCGATAACATTATTATTTGTTTGTGGCATCACAAAATCTCGTTCGACTCTTTATGTTAACCGATTACATCGTCAGTCCTTTTTCCAACTCTCTTTAAATTAATTACTTTACTTTATGAATATAGAGAGTTTGGGGAGAACGTCGAATTTTCATAGTTTATATCTCGCATTGGTATTAGTTGGAAAATCATTAAAAACCAGGGAGCGCTGGTTAGCTGTATCGTCCTAGGATGAGACTCTTCAAGATTACACATTCATGGACTAACCACAGATCAAACCTGAGGTCTTTGATTTACAGCGAGATCTTAACCTTCAGAATAATGGTCCGACATTCAATGGTATAAATGCCTAACTTCAATATATTCGCGAGACTATGAGACTGTGTTCTAGTGTCTTTTGGGAATTCCTGTTTCGCATTCAAAGTTGTTGAGCTTCACTGATCTTGGTTCTTCATCGGAACTCCTGAATTCACATCTCGGAGTTAATTGCTAATGAGTACACGTTTATTATCAGTGTAATGGACCCATGGATATTGTTGAGTGCCCGCTTGGTAGTCTAGAGGTTAAACGCTCAATACCAGACAAAAGCCATAATCTTGACTCTCAATGTAGTCGTACATGCCCGGCCCCATCCTAGAACAAGACAACTCTCTGGCCTTCAGTAGTTGCTTAAGATCAATCTGTGATGTAAACTATGAAAATTTTATTTTGATTAACTAAGCGTTACTCAGTTTATTCTTACTTATTATTAATTTTTGCTCGTTACATAAACACTTATTTGAACTCATTCAGTTTTTTGTTACTGTTCATTTTGTGGACTGTTCTTTGACATCATATATATCTTTAGTATCTTTACTGAATTTCTTGAATTTCCTTACATCCTTGATATTATACCGTATTATGTGATCAAAACAACAAACAAAACTAATTTATGTAAGCATTTTCAGTCCATTTTGTAATTATGGTTTTTGAATATTACAGATCGTAGATCACTGAGGAGGACCTAACGAAACAAAATGAATTTATGTTGGTTCGCTTAAATTTTTGTTCTTGCTCCTTTCAATATGATAAAGGAAACTATGTGTATGTAAGGTGATTTACTTGAAGAACATATTTTTAAATGAAAATGAACCAAAATCGTCAGCGAATCTTAATCAAACAACCAAAGTTAAAAAACAGAGCTCCCACTTAATAAAATGAAGATTGATGGTTACTAATGGAAGTACATCTTTTCATTGGTCTTGTACAACTACACGTTTTGTTATGGAAAATTCTCAATATCTTTTATAATAATAGTGATCACGAGATCAGCGTATAATTTCCTTCCCTAACCACAACAAAAAGCCACTGATTTTACAGTTATTCCGAAATTAGTGACAAAGTAACTTCTAATCATATTACTCTAAATAGTATAAATGACATACAAACGAATGTTCTGTTTCTTGTATGTTTCATCTACTACTTAGGGTAAGATAAACGTTAATAACGTACTACAGTGATCCATTAGAAATATAAGTACTGTCTACTTGAAAAAGACTCTATTTACAAAGATGGTCATAAATTTATGTTCAATAAACCGACATCATACAAAACTAAAGGATGTAAATTTGAAAAACTTACTTTTAAATTTATCACTAAATCCATGAGAGTTTATTTCATGTGTTGCCCTTTTCATTTTGTTTCTTTGAAGATCTTCTGGAATCGGATAGTTGTTACGACTGGGAAAAGGACGATTAATAGTTGAATATTCACAGAGATTTTGATGTCTTGATCCTAATCGTTTCATTTCCTTATAAATTCTGCCTGTTCTTACTGTAGCTAAACAAATAACAATGATAATAATAACACTAATGGTAATAAATGTGATATGTCAAACATTAGGATTTAATAACAAATATATATTTACATTTAATGCTTTTCTACTTATTCATTTATCGCCTTTGATTAATATCCATAATTTTATTCGCTGTACATGAGTACATCATGAAGTTAACTACCGACGGATAAATGTGAGAGAGACGGTGCTAAAAATTATAACTCTACATCCTAATCATAGTTATCATTTTAAACTCCATAAGAAGATTCGCTAATTTGTACCTCCACACTAACATGTATACGTTTTTCAACTATGACCCATTTTTTGCATGTAACCATACTTCATTTATAAATAGAATTGATAGCTTGTAAATCTGCACTATAATAAAACGAAAACAGTACTACACAATCTGTTTTGATTTGTGCTAGATGATTTGATTTTTGGAAATAGAAGTTTCTGTTCACCAACATTCCCACTAGTTTATAATCAGTTTTCCATCTCCAAAAATCGATTCGTTTCATCCTAATATCACAATAGTTTATAATAGCTTTTTTCTAATATTATTAAGTTGAAAATTGAATCGTTTACTTATATAATACTACAGTTTTGAGCTAAACGCTATAGTTGAATGGAACTACGCCTCAGAAGGTATTGAGACCTTCATGTTATACTTATATACTGAATTATGAATATATAGTAAATTACAGATGATGAATGAAAGTCAGTTACTATAATATACATACTATTCAGAAAAAAATGTAGAATGGATGACATCATTTCCTTACAATCCCGTAAATTTATTCTCTTGGTTTAATCAATTGTAAAATAAAGCATGTAACATTAATGTTAGAATATTGAAAACATACACTCTGAGTAGTAAAGTTAATTGGATAGATAAATGAAGTGAAGTTTCTTTCTAGAAGTATGATTATATAACCCAAGAGGGATACTAAGATTTAGAAAGTAATGGTAAAATGTTGAAAACTGATGGAAAGTTAAAATTTAAAAGAGAAACAAGAAGCTTTCATCTCTTTATGGTAACATTTATAGCTTTTCCTATGATGTTTAATCACGTGAAAAGAAATAACTTACAACGTTAACACATTCTAGATAAGATCAAATGTATAAGGTGAAATACTTAAATAAAACTGCTACACATTTTCAATAATATTGAAATAATGATTTCTAGAGAATATATGGTCTAGCTTAAATCGACTGATGAATTCAACTGTTACAATATATGACTGAATAGGCATCTGAAAGTGATTATTATTGATCAATCTGGAAAAAGCACATTTTTAACTCTTAGACGTTACAGCTAATATGATACAGATCAGATATCTTATTTGCTGGAAATAATGTGTGTTCTTTTGATAGACTGTACTGTAATAAGAAATATTTACACTCAGAAGCAAACAAAAACAAAAACGGACAAAACGTTTTGAGAATTAGGCTTTGAAAACAGTTTATTGTGAATCCTACAAAACCAGGTATGGTATATTAAAAAACCGTCTGGATAACTGAACATTTTATTTTAAAGCAAACACAATTGATTTTATAGAACAAAGTGCTTGAATCAATGGGGAATAGTCTATAGATGAAAATGAAATCCACTAGTTTTAAGATTTTATATTGAAATTTATATATAAAGTAAAATTAAAGCTTACAAAGGATGCGGTAGGGAATGAACCAAATACAACGATATCAAATATGCACATTGATAATTTTACTTATTTATTTTACTTTACCATGCAAAATTAAAAGAAAGTGATTGAATACCTAATTTAAAAATAATCTATGCTAGGACTGAAAGCAACTTCACTTAATAGTGATTATAATACCATAGAAGATTTCAATATGTTAATTCAGTCAATGTTTGTCAATGTGATTTGGAAAAAAAAGATACTAATTACACCCCTGTAAACACCCATTCGTAAATACTAAAGTCATTAAAAAAAGTTACCAACTACGGTAGTAAAATAATTGGTTGATAAGGGATTTAATAAAGATGAGAAAAGAAAAGTTACCTATATTCATTCTATGATTAAAAATTTATAGATTCAAGAAGCAACTTTATAAATAAAAACTTTATAACACAAAAGACCTCTTTATGCATTTACTTTTAATTGAATGCTTTAGGATAACTTGGCTACTATTTCTAATATTATACAATAAATAGTATATTGAAAAAGAGCAATGAAAATACCGTGAAAAATTTCGTTCTATCAAATGCTCCGTCAAGTTTTATAACTGGTTGAGTTAAAAGACCTCCTTGATAAATAACAGGAAAAAAACTACTCATAAACTAATTAAGTATTGATAAAACCTAGTTACTCATCTATGAATTAAGTCACAAGATCAATGAAATTTTATCCCATTTTAATTCAGTTATCTGTGTTTATTATGAATTAATTACATTTAAAATGATATCTTGATTCAGAAAAATTTGGTTGAACCACATGAACTTCATTTATGTAGTAAATTATGAATTAAGTTATCTGAGCCTAACCTATGGGACAATAATAAGTGAACCCATTAGAGATAATTGTGCTATTTTGATATCTGCTCTTACGATCCATGAATACGTTTGATTCATGTGACATAACTCGAAGTCTGTTAGAAAGTTTCGATAAGATAGATCAGTTAAATGGTAAGCTTAACGACAATAACAATATCAATATATTGTTGTCTTTTTTGACCTGAATCTCTCTTACTTGCATATTATTATTATTATTGTTATTATTATTATTATTATTATTATTATTATTATTATTAATGGTTCAGTAGTGTTGTTAACCAATTTAACTTTCGACATTTAATGCCATAGTTTTTAAATCCCTATTGTTTTAATCCTTGTCTGACTCTTATTAAAAAAATAAATATTGGTAACTAGACACTTACGTTAGAATCTGTGGTATAGTAAATGTATTTGCATATATCCCTCTTGAACAGTGAATACACAATTATCCCATATTTTTAAAAGTTATTCATTGGTAGTACTACCATTACTATTATGCATTTACTCAAGTATCGTGCTTTTTCATTCCCATTATCTTTTTTTATTTTATGTCTTCTCTTTAACTAACTGCTATCAGTTTACTAAGCACAGAATAAGATGTGCTTCATCTGTGTGAGTCTTATTGTATTTTTTTTATATGTATGTAAATGTACATACGGTTTGTTGCCGGGATGTATTGTTCACCCAGTTACAGTGTTTAATAATGATCCTTTTTCTAATGATAAAGTAGTTGAAAGTAGTTCTCTTTTGATGATTGTTTTTATTTTACTGTTTTGTCTTTTTTTTCGCTTAATAAAGTAATCGTTTGAAAGAGAAAGAAACAACTAGAAATAACCTGTGTTTCCCAGTTGTGTTTTTTATTCATTTTGTTAAACTTTAATAATGAAGTAATTATCTATGGTTTATTGTGTGTATTGAGTATGTTTTCGTTATTTCTATTTCTTTGTTTAGTTTTAACCTCTATTTGTGTCCTTGTCACCATCAAGCATCTGGATAATTATGTAGGATCTGTATTTTAATGTTATTCCTTTACTTGTCTCGATTGCTATTCTGTTTTTCTTCTTGTCAAGTGGACCAGGGTTGTTGAATTTCACTGACTTTATTTCTTGACAAAATAATTGCCCACTTGAGTGTATTTAGTTGCTATTGATGCTATTGTGAAACCGTAAGTGATTATCAATACTTTGTCGATCTACTACATGTAATTAAAAACAGAAAGGTTGTCTTTAGCTAATTTGTTTTGATTGTTCACATAATCACTTTTTCTCGCTAAAGATTATTATGAAATGAAATTTAATACGTAACTTAAACCATTTGAAACAATGAAACAATGAGAATTCTCACACCATTAAATTATCGTGAATGCTCATCTGACTTTTAACTAACTTGATTATTTGATTATACCTATGGGTTTTTAACTATTTCGAAATAAGAACTATGCAGATCTATTTATCTAGTAAATAAGAATTACTCTTACATAGTAAATATGCTTCATAATCGAGTACATAAATCCTAACAGAACTTCAGTGGCAAATATTTAAACATGTATTACAGCAAATGCCAATGGATATTTTCTTATTCCACTCCAATTGGCTTAGTGATTAGATAATTACGACAGGCAACTAATCCTCACTTAGACTACTATTTTAGATATTTCACTATTTTATGTTTAAAAATGAATTGTGTAGTAAAGGCCTGTTACATCAAGGTAGATAACAACAAACTAGAAACTGAACTTTTTCTTTTAAAACAGTGCCAGAACACTATGAGGCACAAATTTCACTCTACATTAATTATTGGTTTATTAGAAAATCAAGTCACGTTCGAAGATTCATATGATCATAACTTTTATTGATTAGTGTAGCAGCTAATCAAATTGTAAGGAATCACCATTATAATAATAAAGATTTCATCTGACCCTGTATCTTAGACCATACAAATTAATAATGTCAGGCTTTAGAAACTATTCTACAGATCCTAACAATGAGAGATGGTTAACCTAAAGCCTCTGTTGAGAGATGTAAGTGAATATCCAAAGAACCTATATGATTAGTAGTAAGAGTATATTCATTACTGAATGCCCTAAATTCCTAGTAAAATGTTTAGATCTCGCTAACCAACTAAGTATGGAGTAAGACAGTGGCGCAATGAGAAAAGACAATGAGGACCTAGCTACACAGGTAGTTAACTGAACTAGACATAATGACTCAATATTGTCGTGATCTAAAAGATCTTGTAGAGTTTAGATTCTATCTTCTATTGGATCATGAATGGGAACTTTTGAACTCTTCAAAATAAGGATGTGAAAGCCATTCAGTACTCCATGGTTTCTGATATTTCTTCAAATAGCTCGGATTTGTGATCAGAATTATTTTCCAATTATATTGAACCTTCACCTTTGTAACTATCAGAATATATAATTAGGAGATAATATACAACTATTGCTTGATACTTCCTTGTTCATAACTGGCATTTCATTACTATGATCCCGTTAAGCAGTTTTACTTGATAGTCATAAAAATACGATTACTAATTGTGAGACATTATATATATATAAAGTTTTCTAATC